CTTCACATCACCGACGGGCAACCCATCGACGCTGGACCTGTTCTTGGCAAACACCAGATTAGCCAAGCCGGTTGCCGTCAACGACCTGAGTTCGGACCACCAACCGGTGCTGACCGAGCTGGGCTACAACGTGGCCCCTGCACCGTGCCAGCGGAAGGACTACCATCGAGTCAACTGGGTCCAGTTTCGACGCGTGGTCGACCGCCACATCGACGACAACCCACCGCTCGACACAGTGGAGGACATCGACCGGGCCCTGGAGGGTCTCCATCAAGCCATATCCGTGGCTGACGAAGAGTGCGTTCGACGAGTTCCTGTGAGGGGTAAGTTTCAAGCAATTGATTCCCACACCAAACTCTTGATTCGGCTCAGAAATGTTCGTAGACGCCAGTTTCAGCGGACTGGGGATCTGCAGCGTAAATACGAAATGGTCGATCTGAATCGGCAGATCGCTTCCAGAATGGTCTCAATCCGGAACGAGAGTTTCGGGCGGCTCGTTCAGAACCTGGACGACCGTTCCAGACCATTCTGGAAGGTTGCCAAGGTGCTGAAGTCTCACCCCAAGCCCATTCCACCACTTAGAGTCAATGACGAACGGCTTATCACCAACGAAGAGAAGGCCAATGCGATTGGGGAGCACATTGCCCAGTCGCATTTGCTTGGCTCTAAAATCCCAAGTCCACTCGAGAACCAGGTTGCGCAGTGCGTCCTGACGTTAGATGCCTCCCCTTGTGCCGTCCCTCCAGAAGAACGGATTACAGAGGAACAAATTTGCTCAGCGCTGAAATACAGTAAGAACATGAAGGCTCCCGGGTTTGACGGAATATTCAACCTAGCGTTGAAAAATCTCAGCCCGAGGGTGCACTCGCTGCTAGCTGCCACCTTCAACAGATGCTTGGAGCTGCACTACTTTCCAAGCATCTGGAAGGTGGCAAAAATCATCCCGATCCGCAAACCTGGGAAAGACCCTTCACTACCGTCAAGCTACAGACCGATTAGCCTGCTCTCAGCGCTGAGCAAGCTGTTCGAAAAATTGATCCTCAGCCGACTAAACAAGTTTGTGGAGGAACATGACATTCTTCTTCCGGAACAGTTCGGGTTCCGTAAGGGGCATTCCACCAATCATCAGCTAGTGCGGGTGATGAATAACATCCGGAGTAACAAAGCTGTATCCAAGTCCACAGCCATGGCCTTGTTAGACGTCGAAAAGGCGTTTGACAATGTCTGGCACGACGGACTTATATACAAGCTTTGTAACTCCAACTTTCCACCATACCTTGTGAAAATCACCCGTAACTATCTCCAGCAAAGGTCGTTCAGGGTGTCGTTGAATAGTTCCCTTTCGGGACAATTTCCGATCCCAGCAGGTGTTCCGCAAGGGAGTCTGCTGGGACCACTGCTTTACAGCATCTACACGTCGGACATCCCTCCTCTAGGAGACGGTTGCGTGTTCTTTCTGTTTGCAGATGACACCGCGATAGCCGTCAAGGGTAGGATGCCACGTGAAATTACGAACAAGCTCCAACGATGCCTTGACACCTTTACTGATTATGCCACCACGTGGAAAATCAAAATCAACGCCTCGAAAACCCAAGCGATCATGTTCCTTCACAGACAATCATTAAAACTTAAACCGTCTCCCTCCTGTACCGTAATAATGGATGGTACAAGGGTCGAGTGGTCCACTGATGTTACTTATCTCGGGATGTTGCTCGATGAGAAGCTCCTGTTCCGCTCGCACATAGAGAAAACCCTAGTTAAGTGCTCCGCCTTGGTTAGGTGTTTGTATCCGCTCATTTGCCGCAGATCCCGCCTCTCAAGGCAAAACAAACTGGCTGTTTACAAACAGATCATAGCCCCCGCGATCTTCTATGCCGCCCCGGTGTGGGAATCGTGCGCTCAGACCCACAGGAACAAAATCCAGGTTGCACAGAATAGAGTGTTGAGGATGATCCTAGATCGTCCATTCGACACAAGAATAGCAGACCTCCATCAAGAGGCAGAAATTCCCAAAGTAGATTCCAAAATTGATGATATGACAACTAAATTTATTCAAAAATGCAATCTTTCTGAACATGCTTTAATAAGCAATTTGTACATAGTAGGTTAAGTGTATATAGTAGAGTAGGTTTTAAGCTGTAAATAGTAGTATTAAGTAGTTTCTCTTCAAATTCTAAAAACAAAACAAACCAATCCCACCAAGGTGGTCGACCGTGTACTAAGTCTAGGACTAATTCTGTAAAACAAATTTTGAATTTTGCCCATACCTAAAGATGAAGAAAGCAATTAAATCACTTAGTAAAAAATTTATATGGTAATCGTCCAAGTTAAACTAAAATAAAGATCATTTAAACTAACTAAAAACTACGCTTTAGGCTCAGTTTCGATTCACCCGTTCAACGAGAAACAAGAGTTAAGTGCTCGGTAAAGGAGGCACCAAGCGTCATCGGAAGGTTCTAGGTGGAAATCAAGGGTACTGCCAAGCCCGCCTTTCGTCGTCTGGCTCGACGTGGTTATGTCAAGCGTCTCCGGTCTGATCATCGAGGAAACCCGAAATGTGCTGAAAATATGCGCGATGCCGTCACCTATACTGAACACGCCAAGCGCAAAACCGGCCATGGCTGTCGTCAACGATTTCGGAGGTTAAAAGTTATCACCAACGTAACAAAACGGCCCTTTTCAGGGCCACCAAGTTCATTTCAGTAAAGAGTTAGAATATAATATATATAGAGTAACCCATAATTCACCCATTCAATTGGGTTCTTTAAGGGTATTGAGGAAATGCATATTCGTAATCTGCATTAAAATCATCATTTCATCAATTTTGGTACACTGTAACTATTTTAAATAAGAACGATTACATTTGCAAAATTCACCTTATAAGCGCCCCTCGGTGTCACTTTGTATGGGAGCGAGCTGTCAGTTTCAAACAGTGAAGTTATTATTTTGCTTTAAATCTTGATTTAAAAATCGAGATGAAAGTGTGGGGGTTCGAACAAATATCGCTGTGCTCAGAAAACGGAGCTTTTTCAGATGATACATAAAAACCGATTAATTTTTCAAAATTTAAGAACCCAATTTTCACTAAATACATCAAAATGATTCAAAAATCCAATAATTTGTTCGGGAAATAAATTATGTTCATATGTCTTATCGGTGTATTAAATTTTTTTTCGTTTCACTTTCATCAACTGAGAAATTTTCCTGCTGCGCGACATCTTCGAAAACGTCCGAACCGTAAATAACTACAGATTACAGTGAGTACAAAAGGAGAGGAGCCAGTGTCGCTAATTGACAGCAAACTACTCATGATGGGAGGAGTCTGTGTACTTTACCGGCGTGTTCAAAAAGAAAGGCAATCAAAATTACATTTTTTGATTGTTTCCCAAACACAGACATCATAATCAAAGAGCATCTTGATTATTTACTGCTGTATCATCGCGCCATCCACCATGCCTAAGGTGAATCATTAATCCAACATCGTGTCATGTTCTCGACCGTATTGCAGGGCCTCCATATTGCCCAAGGCCTAACACTCCGAGGACAACATCAATCTCGGAAGGCACTTCATCAACCATCAACTGGTTATACAAAACCACCCAAAAACAATCGGCCCTTTTCAGGGCCACCACAACTTTCTACAAAAGAGTTGAGTTATGAAATTCTCTTAATTCCAAAACAATATCCGAAGCAACAAACTAGAAAATCGAACAAAAATTTCGTAGTCCTACGTCAACAATGCGGTTGTGTCATGTACACCACCCTCCAACTTTTTTTTCTCAAAAAATATATTTTTTTTTTCGAAAAAGACTATATTATTCCCTACAACTTAGTCTCTTTTGAAGATTTTATGACGATTTTGGCAGTTTTCAGTTTTAGTATTGAGCAACTTTGGCGTTTCATGGAAAAAACCTAGGTCACGTTCAACACGCAAAAAAAAAAAAAAATTAAGTCGCAGAATTTTCCATTCCACCAGTTGACAGTATCACCAACCAACGCTCGCTTTGATTGAAAGTTCTAATGGTTAATTTTCTTCCTTCAGCCAGATTCCTCCGAAATGATCGCCTAATTAGCCAACCAGACACAGTCCGGAGATTTCCTTTCCCAGCTGGCGAACGGAAAATTTTCATTCCACCGAATGTTTGAAATCAGAAAAAAAAATATTTAATTTTCGTGGGTCATTTGCTCCATCTACCGACAGACCGATCGAAATTAATTGGCTGCTGAGATCAGAGCTGGAAAAAAACGGAACTGGAATGGAATCCTGCTCGGAAGCTGAAAATTGCCCGCTTGCCACGGGATGCCACAGGAATTTGCATATTTTGCTTCTTTTCTTTCGGGCTTGAGGAAAATTGAAAAAAATTAAATGGAAAGGAAACCATTTACTAATAGTGGGTAGGTCTGTTCCCTGAACCATTACTGCTTTTCCACTTCTTCTTGGGTGAATCAAAGGAAATCAGTAGACCGACGAAAATGGGATCCGAAAGGTACAACAGGTTCCCATTCGGAGGCTTCGGGACGGACGTAGTTTTTTCTTTCTTTCTCTAGTTCCAGTTCGTTGGATCGTGTCTATGGGGGAAAAGGCAGATGATGTTACAGAGTAGTTAACAGGCGAAAACGAAGAAACAGGAAAATCCTTTCAATTCTCGCCTGCTGGGATTGGAATCGCTGCGCAGTGAGGCGTTTCTGAAGTTTTAAATAACGAGCTTCAACTGGAGGCACTTGAAGTCTTGAAAATCGTTGCCCAATGATGACGGTGTTTTCGACATATCTTGTCATCGCTGTCATTATGACAGCACCGAAATAAACATGTCAATCTAGACAATCAATCTCCCGCAAGAAACAGCTTGAAACGAACTTTCAGCTGATTTCGTAGTATTGACACGTGCGGGTACACGTGCCATTTCTCCTCCCACTTCAAATCGTTTGATTCAAATCACCCGGCCGGGCTGGGAAAGTGCCCCGGACGACACAAGTGGTAGCAGGATAGAAGGACTTACCTCTTCGTAGAATTTTAAATGTGGCACCGGTTCGTCTGAGACGTTGTCGCAGAAATCTCTGAACAGTAGATATCCTGGAATGAAACGGAGAATGGGAAGAGATCGTTCGTTAATGATAGGTAAACTGACTGGCAATTTGATTCTGTGTCTTGTGAAGGGGAAAAAAAGACGCCACATCAGATGATTATCGGTTCTCAGGTTCTCAGGTCGATCGTGATAACGAAATTGCCGATAATACAAACAACTTGCGGCTTCTTCTTGATTGAATCTAGCAGACCATGCATGAGTGGAAACCGACCGTCGAAAATTAGCACCGATTGCTTGGATTGTGGAAAGTTTTTTTCAATCAACGGACCGATTTTCGCTGAATCGTTCCGAAACGATTGCGCAAATTCTCTGCCCTCACGATAGAAGAGGAACAACGAATAAATAAATACTAGGATATAACGGATTTCGCATTCCGGTCGTTTCCTCGGTCGGTCGGTGTCGGAGTCCTGAACGCGATAAGGTGAGAACTTTCGCATGGCACCCGGTGCGTCGCCGTACTGCTCTGAAGAAGGATGAAAGTAAAAGCTATACGGAATGAATAATTCAGATCTGCCGGCTGAGGCTGTCTTGCCCTGTTTGCTTCCACACGGGTCGTAGCAGAAGAAAAAAAATGAATGAAATTGTAAGTGTTCTTACTGTGGATTTATTTGCCTCGAAATCGAACAGATGTCCACCGGGACGAGGGGGCGTAATTGAATGGTAATTGTATTTTGAGGGATTTGCCTCCGTGCGCAGCCATTCGTCATCGGTGTCGCTGTTGGAGTGGAAGAAATCCGGTGAGGATTTGAAGCTGAATTCTTGGTATTTAAAATCACAAGGCTATCTTGGATTCATATCATCACAAACAACGGCAATTAACGGCGGTACAGTCGCCAGGCATATCTTCAAGGCTTGCTGCTCTGATTAGGAAGCACAGGGATGCCAGATTTGAATATTTGTCTTTTGAAGGGATTTGAAATTCGGTGAAGACATTTGTTTCCAGTCGGAGCAGCTCCAGGCCAGATTGCAAAAAGAATGAATTTTTGACCATTTCGTGTCGGTTCAAATTGGAGAAATTCTAACTCTGTGTGATCCACAGGACTGGAGGTGGGTCCCATCGAAGAAAAACGTGTCGGATGTTGCCACAAAATGGAAGAACGGGCCAAATCTAGGATCCGACAGTCCCTGAAGAGAGAACCATATTAACCCTCCGTTACTCGCGCTGTTGTACTTTGTACAACACACATGAGTTTTCCATTGCCATTTTGTTGCTGAGTTACCAATCGATCTGAAACCAACGAGTATTCCTCAAAAAACTTGTTTTGATCTAAACAAGCTAAATTTTGATTACAGTAAACACCTAAAAAATGCGGATAATAGGGAAAATGTAAATGGAAACCGCGAAAACTGTGACCATACTACGTGGGATTTGACTTAATTGATTACAACATGGAATATATCAAGATTCTGACAAGATAGAAAGTTACTGTCTCTGACAAAGTTATTCAGGAGATCATAGCCTTGTCGCTGGCGGACAGTAGTTCAGCGTTTTCTCACTTTGCGGCGCTACTATAGATGTGAAACTCTTGCATATAAAATATCTCCAGATCCTGACCAGATAGAAAGTAAATGTATTCGGCAAAGTTTTTCAGGAAGTCAAGATCATTTTCTTGGGTGACAATAGTTTAGAATTTCCTCACTATGCGGTGCTAGTATATACGTGCGTTTCTCCCATATTCAATAGCTCGAGATCTTGATCAGCTAGAAAGTTGCTGTCTTCGGCAAAGTTGTTTCGGGGATCAAGACTTTTTGGCTGGTAAACAGTAGTTAATAATATTCTCACCACGTGGCGTTAGTATGCATGTACACTTCTCGCATATGGTATATCTCGAGATCCTGATCAGATAGAAAGTTGTTCAGGAGGTCAAGGTCTTTTGGCTGGTGGACAGCAGTTCAGAATTTTCTCACTTCATGAAGCTAGTATAGTCTTGAACAAAGTTGTTCAGGAGTTTAAAGCCTAGAGTTTATGAGAAAATTCTAAACAATTGTTCACCAGCCAAAAATGCTTTGATCTCCTGAACAACTTTGTCGAAAACAGTAACTTTCTATCTGGTCAGGATCTCGAAACAAACCACATGCGAGAATTTCACGTGTATTCTAGCGCTACGTAGTGAGAAAATTTTGAACTACTGTCCACTAGAGAAATCTATCTGATCAGAATCTCGAGATATTTTACATGCGAGAATTTCGCGTGTATACTAGTGCCACGTAGTGTGAAAATTCTGAACTATTGTGCACCAAGCAATAGGCATTGACCTCATGAACAACTTTTTCGAAGACAGTAATTTTCTACCTGTTCAGAATCTCGAGCTTAGCATACGCGAGAATTGTACACGTTTACTAGCGCCAAAAAGTCTTGACCCCCTGAACAAGTTTGCCGAAAACAGTAACTTTCTATCTGCTCAGGATCTCGAGCTATTGTATATGCGAGAATTGCATGTGTATTAGACTGCCAGCGAAAATGGTAATTTTTAATTTCGCCAACAAACCATATACAAAATGTCTGTTGCCTCGAAAAATGACCCTATGCAAAATTTGAGCTCAATCGGACATGATTTAGGGGTGGCGCAAACGCGTCAAAGTTTGACTTTTTTCACTCTCGAAAATCTCCCAAAGGGGGGGTACATGAAATTTCGGAAATCAAAAAAAAAATTTGATGCCAAATGTCTTAAAAATGCATGAAACATCGAGATTTGGTGTTATCTCGAAAAAAATTTTTTTTTTCATTAATCGACTTTCTGGGACTTAGAATTTTTTTCATGAGTTCTGTATGGAACATAGAAGATTGATGAATCGGCTTCTAAAACTGTTCACAATTGTCTCCAACCTGCTTATATATCGAATTAAACCACCATTTAGGATCTAATACGAAATAATTCACTAGGGCGGTCCAATTATTCTTCATTAGGGTGGTCCAATAATCAAAATAGGTATGTAAAAACCATTACTTTTTACCAAACGCATGTATCTGACAATATCATCATGTTGTGTTTTGGAATTTTTATGGTAAATGTCAGGTAAATGCTTTAGATGATACATTTGCATTTAATTTTCTAATGATTTTTTTTTTAAGATACTCATAAAAACATTACAGCCAGATCCATTGTTTTTTTTTCCTTTGGTTTGTTTTTTCCGTCGATCTTGTTTTCCGTGCTGAGCACCAATGCTACCGACGTGCCAGGAAGGCAGCTCCCACACCTGGACCCTACCTATCGACCCATCAACTCATGACCTTCTGAACAACTTTGTCGACGACAGTAATTTTCTATCTGGTCATGATCTCGAGATATATCACATGCGATAATTTCACATGTATTCTAGCGCTACTTAGTGAGAAAATTCTGAACTACTCTCCACCAGCAAAAAGATTGTGATCTCTAGAACAACTTTGCGCAAGACAGTAATTTTCTATCTGGTCAGGATCTCGAGATTTTCCATGTTGTAACCAATTATTCAAATCCCACGTAGAACGGACACCGTTTACGCGGTTTCCATTCACATTTTCTCTATTATCCGCATTTTTTGTGGGTTAACTTTGATAAAATTTTAGCTTGTTTAGTTAAAAACAAGTTTTTTAAAAAATACCCGTTGGTTTCATATCGATTGGTAGCTCGGCTGCAAAATGGCAATAGAAAACTCACACTGTTGTACAAAGTACAACGCGCGAGTGCTCGTGTTATAAAAGTTGGCGCGAGTAACGGAGGGTTAAAGAAAACTCGAGGTACTCCAGAGAATCGCCACCCTACCGTGTCCAAGTCGAGCTCCATCTACAAAACCTGGCCCTTCATGGATGAACAAGGTTGAATGCGAGGTCGTATTGGAGCCGCATCCCGAAGTGTCATCCAGTGACATTTCTCATTACGGATTGGTACCACCGTCGATTTCGTCATGCCAACCGCGACACAGTCGTGAACAAAATGCAACAGCGCTTCGAGGTGGCCAAGCTTAGATCCTTTGTTCAAAAGGTTGCAAAGAACTGCGTGTTTTGCAAGTTCTCCAAAACCATTCCCAGAGCACCAAGATTCCAAGTCAATTCTGAGGAGCAATGCCAAAGAATACTGGCTAGGAATAGTGAGAGTTACCGGTGAATTTAAGGGAGAGTTTTAAAAAGAATTCTGAAGAAAATTCCATGGGAGTTCGGGCAATAATTACTGGGGAATTATAAGGAGAATTCGGTGAAAGTTCTGGTGATAAATCAAAATTAAATTAAAGGTGTATTTCAAAGAAATTCTGAGGAGGTTTCCAAGTGGAATTCTTAGAAGAACCTGAAAGGAACTCGCTGGAGTATTCCAATGCAATTCCTATAAGAATTGAAATACCATGGGAATCCTGAGCAAGGATTCATAATCCATGTTATGCAGCTTATAAAAGTAATTTAAGGCATAATTCCATCGAAGTTTTGTAGGAATACTATGAAAAATCTTAGGAAAATTCCAAAAGTATCAGAAGAATGCTGAGATGAATTTTAAAGGTAATTATGCTACAATTATTAGAAATTCGAAGTGAATTGTAGAGCAAATTTCAACAGCATTCTTTGGATGATGATGATGATGATGATGATGATGATGATGATGATGATGATGATGATGATGATGATGATGATGATGATGATGATGATGATGATGATGATGATGATGATGATGATGATGATGATGATGATGATGATGATGATGATGATGATGATGATGATGATGATGATGATGATGATGATGATGATGATGATGATGATGATGATGATGATGATGATGATGATGATGATGATGATGATGATGATGATGATGATGATGATGATGATGATGATGATGATGATGATGATGATGATGATGATGATGATGATGATGATGATGATGATGATGATGATGATGATGATGATGATGATGATGATGATGATGATGATGATGATGATGATGATGATGATGATGATGATGATGATGATGATGATGATGATGATGATGATGATGATGATGATGATGATGATGATGATGAT